GATGCTTAAAGGCACAAAACATCATATGGTAAAACTGATTGAAAAGGGATGCACTGGAAAATACATATATCAACTCTGTATTATTAGCATTTTCTCCTCTTCAGTTTCACAAACTAAAAATTTTTAGATGTATTTACTTTAAATTTAAATACAATTTTAAATTTAGAGCTTTAGTCCCACTTGCTGTATATCAAGTGATCCATTGCTGCTCTTGGTTTGTGGTACTTTTATGAGTAATGTAAACAGAGTATTTCCATCTTCTCATGAATTTTTATTATACAGTTCTCTAGACTTTAGTTGTTCAGGTTTGGGATATTTACATAAACTTTTACTTTTTCATTTATAGAATATCAGTGTGGCTCTTCATGAAGATGCTATTGGCCATATAGGATCTAAAGTTCTGCATGTGTCATCTAGAAGTGAATTCATTTTTTCCTTTTTTGTTCCAGGGTTTGGTATAGCAGGAATTGAACTCAGGAGCACTCAACCACTGGGCCACATTCCTAGCCGTATTTTGTATTTTATTTAGAGACAAGGTCTCACTTAGTTGCTTAGCACCTCACATTTGCTGAGGCTGGCTTTGAACTCTCGATCCTCTTGCCTCAGCCTCCCAAGTAGAAGTGCATTTCTTTATCTTCTTATGTTCTCTTTTTCCAGTATCTCAGAGTATTAGCTTTGGATATCCTCCCACTTATATATTTATCACCTTCTAGGAAAAATATTGTTATAGTTATGAATTTGGGTTGAAGAAGAAAGTGAAACTCTTTGCTACTCTGTTTTTGAAGTGAAAATATTAAGCTGAATAGAATGTCTATGCCACTTAAAAGAGATAAAGAGATACTGCATGTACACACACACACACACACACAAACACGTATTTCTTTGCCATTGACCCTTACTCTTTTCAGACTGCTTATGATAGAGGTTTAAAGCTTTGATTCTGGATATGCAGTCGTTTTTTAGTGATAAAAATAAGCTTTAATATTTATTTTTTTCCTTAGCTTTATCTCTTTTTACATGGGCAGCTGATAAATTCCAAAATTCCTATGGGATGTTCTAATGGAGTAGCAGTTTGAGCTGTCAGCAGTGTCAGTATTACAAGATAAAAACATAAAGTCACAAATCTGTACATCAAATGTTGTGTTGCAAATGAAACACTATCTACCCCATGTAAAATCAGCTTCTCTGCCCTATCTTTGAATAGTTTTTCTTTGATTCCACAGTGTCAGTAAATGGCTTGGGTAACCTCCTCCCCCTTGAGGCTGTATGGACAAATTCTTTCAGCATTGTTTCATGAAAGGGGTATTGAGTCACTGGTTATAAGGAGGAAAAATCTAATTAAATCTTGATAAAGTCTTAGTCATTCTGACTCAAGGAAGATAGTCTAGTATATGATTTTTCCTGAATCAACAAGACTGATTAAAGGATTTGTAATTTTAAAGGTCAAGAGAAATATAAGGGTAGGGGACATGAATGCTTTTAGATCACTATTTGTCAAAAATTATTGAACATTTTATTTAAAAATAAGTCAATTATATTGTTTGAAATTATACTTAAATAAAGGTTATTCAAAAACTAAAATTCAAATAATCTATATATTTGTGAGATTGATTTTTGTTCACTGATTACAATTATCTTTCTGCTTTTAAATCCACATTTTGTATTTCTTCAATGAGGTTATTTCTTCCAAAGCTCCCTGGACCATGTGAGACTCTTCTTCCATAAAAACCTGCTGAAGTCTTTTGCCCATTTTAATATTGGAGTCATTTATTATATATGTGTAAGTGTCTTAGTACTATGTATTATTTGATGAATAGCGATTTAAGTTTTATATGTAGTCAAAGATATATATATATATATATATATATATATATATAATCACAGTAGTCTGTGTCACATTTACGAAATTTTTCTCTACCCAAAGGTTTGAAAAATTGCGAAACAGATGTCTTTACTAATGTTATAAAATTTGCTTTAGTTGTTTAAGTCTTTAATCTATCCATATTTATAGGTTTGTTGTGGTCTGAAGTTAGTATTCAATTGTATTGTTTTTCCAAATGRATACTAATTTTTTTCTAGTATATTTATTTAATGTTATCTAGTGTCTTTACTGATTAAAAAGGGAAATAATTTCTTTTTCTTCAAGGTCAAGCAGCATGCAAATCATATAGAAGATGATTGAATATAAACTCCATGTCAGAGATACTAAGACTCAATTGGATGGTAATKTTCCATTGAAATTTTATCTATAAGRTAAAATCTGAGTGGGGTTAAAGAAGTATCTAAAAGGCCTACAGTCTGTATATTTCTGCACATGTAAGTTTCTCATTTCTGTATCCTACAAAGTATCATTTCCTTAGAAGTGTGTTCAATGGCCTCAACTTTCACACAGCCATCTAAGAAACAATTTCAAACTCATAACAATATATATAATATTCTGCCTTCTAACCCTTTTAGTTCAATATTTTTAAAAAAGGATAATTATACTAATGTCTGTTTAGAAAATTTCATAGTATTTCATTAAAAAAATGAAGAATGGTCCTTTGTAGAGTGGAACCCATGCCGCTTACTTACATACCAGTTTTCCTACTTACAAGTAATTTTCATCATGCTGTGTGGAACAAAAAAAGTGGCCTCAAATGCATATTTATAAAGTGATTCCCTTTGTTATAGTAATAAGTCTCCAATGAATTACCAATAAAACTTAATGTTGGCTTTGAGTTTACCCACAATTCAGCAATTTTGCCTGGCCTCAAATATTTTTCTACTGTTAGTTTCCCCTATATTCATATATATAGCAGTGGTTGTCTGATAGTTTGACTGGGGCCAGATAAACCATATCTCATGATCATTCTGGATGCTTGTCTGGGACATCTGGTTCCATCTCCACATTCTAGAATGTATCTCAGAGCAATGACAGCATTGTAGGAAGACAAGTCTCATTGCTCGAATATTTATTAAATTTGTGCATGAATTACGTTTGATGATGTCTCATAGGGGAGGCCAAATTTTGCCTCAGCTCTTTCAGGGTTTCAAGGGTGGGCCTAAGAATTAAATTAAATGAGATAGATAAATGAAATAAAAGCACAGAAGTTTATTCAATACAAATTTTTCATGGTATTTACGATTTCAAAAGGAAATGACAAAAAAATACAGTTGGACATTTATGTACTAARTTAAACTAACAGTAAATTGTGAACCTATGCATATCACAGTACCTTGGGCTGGCTAGTAAACTGGGTAAGAAAGTAGGTAGAAAGATAAGGTTTAATCTAATATTTGTATAGATTTTTTGGCCTCAACTTCCTGTCCTTGAAGATAAAAATGCTATTTTCCTTCTCGCTTATGGAAGACAACTTTCATGAAAGAATTTCATCTCCTATTTTTTTAGCATAGAAGGAAAATTGGAGTGGTTTTCTTGAACCTATCATTTTTCAGTCGCTTTGACTCRAAACAGTCAATATGTCAGTATAGGATGTTTTGGTGAGGCATATTCTTTACTCCTTGATTTTTGGGGGCCAAAGCAAGATATACAACAAACCCAGAGTAAGTATRTAAATGGACAATAGAAGGTATGGAKTCATGGGTACATGACTAATTAGGAACCATTCGTGTAAAAATCTACCACAACCTGTTCTCTGAACCCCACAAATAAAGATCTTTCTTGCAGTAGGTAAAATACACACATGCTGTCTCCAGAGACTTCAAATTTCTCCTCTCRTGATATTCATGGAAAATTGAGGACATTTTACAACGTTATTCTAAATTTAGTTCTGTCAGTCAGTAGTAGTTATTTTAAAATTGGCTATATTAATATTACCTAGAAGGAGAAAAGTCTAGATTGAAATAGAAGAAGAGACCAGAGAAGAAATAAAATCAATCCTTGATATCTAGAAACTGCCACATCTAGGTCATGCTCTTGTTAGGAGGCAGCCTGGTATTCTCTGCTAGATTGTGGTATTCTTMCAAAATAAAAAAAAAATCTACAGAATACCAACAGAAGACACAGATATTACAGAAGCATAATTCAGTGAGACAAAAAGCAAGACCAAAACACAGACACAAATTAGATGTTCATGGAATYCACAGAAATAAATAAATTTCCCCTCTCCAGGCTAATACCTGCAATCACTGATTACTTTCTAATTGTAGCTTCAGCTTTACTCTAGTGTTTCCTTCTTAAAAGTGAACTCTGGTGGTTTCTAGATGAACATTGAAAAGTGTCATGCCTGAATTCCATTATCTATTCATCATTATTAAGTGTGGATGACAAGGAGATTTCTCAACTTGAACCCATCATGACCAGAAACGGAGGTGGACAGAAAAAAGGGGTGAGTGGAAAGGAAGGAATGAAGGGATTAAAGAAGGAAAAAAGATAGGAAGGCAAGGAAAGGTGGACTGGGAAAAGAGAGGAAGAAAAAAGTTGATGGTCCAGAACCATTTTTCATTTTGACTGACTTTTAAGTCTTTTTGTCCAAGCTGGCAAATCTTAACAAACTTTTAGTTTCCTATTRATTTCCTAATAATCTGATCATATTTATCCCATGTTTCAAAAACTGTATTTATTTGGACTTTTTAGAAAAATAATTATTCACAAAATATTTCAAAGTTATTTTATTGGTGCTTATAGTATCTTCTAGACATTGTCTTTAAATTTCTGAGTCTTAACAATGTATTTTCAGAACTTCCTTTAATGATTCTTACTTTGAGAATCTCTTATTTTTGTTAGGTGGAATAGACTTGGAAAAGAATATTTTTGGCTGGGAGCAGTGGCACATAGCTATAGTCCTAGCAACTTGGGAGAYTGAGGCAAGAGGATCASGAGTTCAAAGCCAGTCTCAGTAACAGTAGCAAACTAAGTAATTCAATGAGACTTTGTCTCTAAATAAAATACAAAATGGGGATAGGGATGTGGCTCTGAGGTCGAGTGGCCCTGAGTTCAATCCCTGGTACAAAAAAATTTTTTTTTTGTAAAAAAWATATATATCCCCTGCAAGGTACAATATCCACAGCCAAACTTATCCCCATGTGGCAGGGCAGGGGACACAAGGCCCATGAACAGCAGAACTTGCTGTAGCAGACATCTGGGCCAGCCTCCACCACGAGAAGATGGGAGCTGAATTTGACTTGACTGCAAAACAAAGAATATTTTTAATCCAACTGTTATTAAATCTTCTGTCTTCATCTTGYAAACTAGTTCATTACTCCATTTCTCTTTTCCTGACTTGGTCTCCCCCTTCCTAGGTAGATAAAGAAGCCAATTGACACTTTAAATATTACCCAATCACTTTACCCTTCCAGAACAGTTTACCATTTTTCCAGCTTCCATTTGTAATTKTCTCAGTCTGTTCCACTTTTGCAAAACCCTTGTTCACCATTTCTGCATTCTCTATTCAATGCTCAAGCACAAATCCAAGGCCACATGCTTAATGTTTTTGAAGGGTAGTACCTTAGATTTAAGTTCCAATTTCTATTYCAGTTACCTATGTTTAAAACAACAATCATTTAACCTGGGAATGGTGGCACAAACCTATATTCCCAGAGGCTCTGGAGGCTGAGACAGGAGGATAACAAATTTAAGGCTAGCACTGGTAACTTAAGAGAAACCTATCTCCAAATAAATGAACAAACAAGTAATAAAAAGACTGGGGATATATCTCAGTAGTAAAATACCCTTGCATTCTGTCTTAGCACTAAAAAGAAAAAAAGAAGAAAAAAAAGTATCTCTGCAACTACCACTTATTTATTTGTGAACTGTTCCACAACTGTAATGAGTTCATTTTGGACAGTTTTCTGCTGGTCTCTTTGGGGGAGACCTGTGTATGTGCAAAAGGTCACTCTTTGATCTAAATGGTCCAAGTCCAAATGTATGGAGATTAGCTGGTACTATAGTTGAGGGCACTTTAGTTTTCCTCCACAAGTCTCCTCTGAATAATAATCCATATTTTTCACACAGTGGTGGAAATATTTCAAGACAGTTATCACCAATGTAAAGTTCTCATGAAAACTTAACATATGGTATTGGGATATGGCTCAAGTGGTAGCGTGCTCACCTGGCATGCATGTGGCCCAGGTTCCATCCTCAGCACCACATACAAACAAAGATGTTGTGTCCTCCGAAAACTGAAAAATAAATATTAAAAAAAACAACACCTTAACATATGTTATTTTTGCTGTTGGCCTTAGGGCCAAAGTAAATCACAGGGCCAATCTCATGAAAATGAACAATATTAAGAGATATGATATACTAATGTATATTAACAAAATTGGGTATCAACTGATATTTGTAGATACTTGGAAAAGGTGTGGCAATATTTTTATTATCATTATTTCTTGAATTTCTGCTTTATCTACAATGAGATTTTATTAGTACTATTATAAAAACAAGCAAACTAATAATAAAAARTAAATTGTTTTCCCAATATAATCAGGTTTTCAAGAATGATACAGGTTAATGCTCTGAAAAATTGGGATTTATTCCTTGTCAAAATAACAAAGACAAGATTTCAATTTCTGCTGATAATATATAATAATGTTTATTTTTTACTATATATATTTTTTACTCTATATACGTAGTATGCTAACTAGAGCCACAAAGATTTTATAAAGAGAAAATTTATTTAAATTTTGCTCAAATAATGTATTATAATTAAAAATTAAACACAGGTATATATAAAAATTTATGCATGATCGGTGTTCAGTACCTATCTTACACCATCTTGTATGTTTCAAAATGTAGTGCAAAGTATAATTAATATTTACTTGTATTTGTTTCTCAAGAATATGCTTTCTCTATTAAACACCCCTAAGAAACTGCCAAGCATAACACTTTTAAAAGATCACATTGTCAATGTCTTCTAAGATTTTTACAACACCTTGGTTAGCTTTAACTAGAAAAGTCTTTTCTTACTGAAATAAAAAATAAAACAAAATTTTTACATGTTTAGGTGCTCAGAGGAAATGTAGCTAACATCATGTTTCTGCACTCTTCTGTATCTTCTTGAAATGCAAATGTCTCTAGGTAAACAAAAATCCAGTAAAGTACCAAAGCTTCTGTAGGCATGCAAATAAAATAATTAATGACTTTCCTTGCTCCCTTATTCAATATATAGGTAAGTTTTTAGTTTATATGAACTATATTATGTTTATTTCATCATTCCCATTCACAGTTATAAAGCGAATCTTTCTTTAAACTATGTCAATCTCCTCTCCCAGGCTTGTGTTCAAATGAAGTGAGCATAGATAATAGATTGCAGACAAAAAATATGCAAGACTCTGGATAAAAACTTAAATAAATTTCCTCAATGTCTTATATCTGGAATGACTATAATTATGAATATTCCATAATTTTATTTCATTCATTTATTTATTGATAGATACCTACTAGGCAGCATGTCAGAAAGTGGGGGAGAGTCAGAAATAGTGACATACTAAGCAACCCAGTGACACCCTGTCTCTAAATAAAACTCAAAATAGGGCTGAGGATGTGACTCAGTAGTCGAGTGTCACTTAATTCAATTCTTAGTACCAAAAAAAAAGAAAAAGAAAAGAAAGCAGGGAGAGAATAAGGAAATAATAAAAATATTATGATCTATCATTTTTTTCTAATTAGGTACACATGAACATTGGTCAGGATTCCTATCATTATCTTGTGCATAAATATGAAAGGAACATGCACCTTATTTACTCCTATTTTGTTATGTAAATGTATATGGACATAAAGTATAAAGTCAGAAAAGGGAAAAGAAATATACAGAATGTAAATATGGGAACCAATATCCTTTTTGATTTAATTAAGAACATATGGTCATAGAATTAGCCCTAGGATCTGAAATTCTGTGTAATAGTTTCACAGGCAATTTTTGCAGGAACTTGTTTTGTTATATCATTTGTGAAAAAAAAATAAAGCCTAAAATAGAAAGAATAATGGAAATTTGATAATTAAAAATGAAACAGAATATACAGGTTATACAAGAATAAGAATAATGCCTACTTATAAAATAAGGTCTTACCCATTTGAGAAAAATGGGGAATATATWGCATACAATTTATGCATTAYATTATTCTTTTTAAAAATATATTTAAGTTACTGATAGATCTTTATTTTATTTAGTTAACATAAACTGCTAAGAATCAAACACAGAGCCTCACACATGACAGGTAAGTGTGCTACATCTGAGCCCCAGCCCCAGCCTTATATTATTATTTTTAATAGAAAATTTGTTTTCAAGATGGTAATATTAAACCACATAATCTTTCTAAATAAATAACAAAAAATGTAGATAACTAATCTCTCCAATTGCAACCCACAATTAAACTAAGGGTGGAATGAAATTCTCAGATTTAATGAGAGAGGAGTATGGAGCTGTTATGGTATACAGCCATTGAAAGAGGGAGATGTAGGCAGAAATCAATGACACAAAATATCCATTTATCAGTTCTTTTGATGTGTGCATCAATGTTGAGAAAGTATAAATGAACTAAGATACATATCTATATAGAGGATGCTATCAAAATCCACTTTAAGGTGCAAAAAAAAAATAGAGCCCATTTCTACCAAAAAACAAAACAAAAAATTCCCCTGCTAAAGAAGAAGGAGAATAAGAAGGAAATTTGCAGTGCTGCAAAGAGAATATTTTTGTGGATTTCTTAAAGACCCAGAAGAATYAAGATGATATTGATAAACCAGAATAAAGGAGAGTCTTAGAAAACCMTTCAAGGAATATTGCTACCACAGAGATCTGAAATAGAATACTTGACAGAACCAATAGAACCCAGTATCTGATTTAAGCTTGGAGGAGGCAGATGAAAGAGAATGAGACTGTGAGACAGGAATCAGGGACAGAAATTGTCAGCCTATCTGTAGAACCACTGGGCTGTTCAGAACCTCTCTTTTCTTTTCTGACCATAGTGTTTGTCTTCTCCTCAAGTTCAAAAAAGGATTATAAACAGTAAAGATTTGCTTGRGGAGTATAAACGGTATGAGCTTTGCACTTGGGTGAAAGGACACATTTTAACAGGGCTCTGGAGCATCACTGAAAGCCCACAACTGAAAAATCTGAACATCTACCTGGATATAAAAGAAACATTATTTTTGTCTAAAACCAATTGATTAAATATATCACATTATTTTGAAAATAGATATTTTTCCTTTTGGCAAACAAAACAGTCTAGCTTTACACAGTAGTTCCTGAGTAACTTCTTGTCAGAGAAGCATAGATATTGAACCTGCAACTGTTGCTTTATGCTTCCAAGGTCAATGATAGATAAAGGTAATATAAATTAATTAGATAGAAGGATCATGAAATGAAATAAATTTTATGGATTATAAATTGAGCTTCTTTAAGTAATCTCATATTTGTTAAGCCTCCTTAATTCTTCCTGGAGTGAGAACCGGTGAGTCAAACTATCAGGCATGCAGGAGATTCTGAACAGGCAGGTTTGGGAAGTTTTAACAGCTTGTTCATGATACTGGAGACTCTCAGAACAGAAGGTATACTCTTTAAAATGCAAACATAAATGATTCTGCTTCTCCTCATTATTATTAACCTTCATCAACATGAAGTTCATCAAGGTGAATAAATCAAAGATACATGTTTATAATATTCTCTGGGATTGGTTATTAAATGGCATAAACATTTTTAACCAGACAAAATCATATGATCTGAAAAATATGAAAAATTACACAGATTTTTCACTTCTGCATACATCTCCTATCCAAGTTACTAGAACATTAAATTAAAAATTATGCAATAAAAATGAATAAAAGAGRTATCTCATGAAAACAGAAGAGAGATCAATAGACTAGACGAAGGGTAGGTAACAAGATGAAGGGAAGGGAGGATGGCTTGGGTAAGTAAGGGGTATAAAATCTACCAAATAATGCTATGCCCATGTATGGGAAGGCACACAGTGAGTTGAGTGTGTGTGTGTGTGTGTGTGTGTGTGTGTGTGTGTGTATTGCTCTAACATAATAATAGTATTAGAATGGAGGTCTATGGAGTGAAGAATGTATATCAGGAGAAGGGGGGAGGGGAGGGAAAGGGAAGTTTCCACAGAATGATATTGATCAAATTATTTGCATGTACAAACAACAAAATGCATCCCMCCATTATGTATACTTCTAATGCACAAAT